GAGCCATCAGCCCAGAGCCTGACGCGGGGCTCGAACTCACGGAGTGCGAGATCGTGACCTGGCTGAAGTCAGACGCTTAACCGACTGCGCCACCCAGGCGCCCCTAAAGATTTTTTTTTAATGTTTACTTATTTTTGAGGGAGAGAGAGAGAACAGGGGGAGGGGCACAGAGAGAGAGACACAGAACTGGAAGCAGGCTCCAGGTCTGAGCTGTCAGCACAAAGCCTGACACAGGGCTCTAACTCACGAACCATGAGATCATGACCTGAGCCGAAGTTGCACGCTTAACTGACTGAGCCACCTAGGCGCCCCTGTTTTAATTTTTAATTTAAATACAAAAGTGATATAAAATGTTTTCCAATTAAACACAACTTTACAGTTGGGGTATAACTACATTTCTTTTTTTTTGTTTCAATATATGAAATTTATTGTCAAATTGGTTTCCATACAACACCCAGTGCTCCTCCCAAGAGGTGCCCTCCTAAATACCCATCACCCACCCTCCCCCCCTCCATCAACCCTCAGTTTGTTCTTAGTTGTTTTTTTTTTAATTTTTTTTTCAACGTTTTTATTTATTTTTGGGACAGAGAGAGACAGAGCATGAACGGGGGAGGGGCAGAGAGAGAGGGAGACACAGAATCGGAAACAGGCTCCAGGCTCCGAGCCATCAGCCCAGAGCCTGACGCGGGGCTTGAACTCACGGACCGCGAGATCGTGACCTGGCTGAAGTCGGACGCTTAACCGACTGGGCCACCCAGGCACCCCTGTTCTTGTTTTTAAGAGTCTCTTATGCTTTGGCTGTCTCCCACTCTAACCTCTTTTTTTTTTTTTTCCCTTCCCCTCCCCCATGGGTTTCTGTTAAGTTTCTCAGGATCCACATAAGGAAATACATTTCACCATAACCACTGAAAATTTAGCATCCAAGCTGAAAAGTGCTATAACAATATGTATCAGATTTTGAAAACTCAGTATGAAGATAGGAATGAAAATACTTCCATTTATTTATATTATTACATGTTGAAATAATATTTTCGATATATTGGTTAATGGATATTATACTTAATTTCAACTGTTTCCTTTTACTTTCTAAACTGTGTACAAAAGAAATTTTTAAATTACACAAGTGGCTTGCATTATATTACCTTTAGATTCAAATACCGTTATATTATGCAGCCTCTCACAGTATGTGTTCTGAAAAAGTCATACTGCCAAATCTCAAGACTTAGTTCTCACCACTCCAAGAGATTGGATTCTCAGGAAAAGCTCCCTGCCCTTGTTCACACAGACCTCTCTTCACAAACTCCAATCATATTCCTACTCCTAAAATGTCTTACTGACTAAAATGAATGAAACCATTTCCTACCTTCCTTTGTTTGAAAATCAAGTCTGTGAATAAAATCAAAGGTGTCTGGGGTGTTATTCTACCTAACCACCAGTCTCTTCCTTGACAAAACACACTCTAAAGTCCTTAGTTTATCCTCGAAGAGTTCAACTAGTTCTATTTCTGTACCATCTTTAGGAAAGAAAACAGCACATGAGGAAACTGAATAATTACCAGTATGTATATGAATATTAACTGGGAAGGAAAAGGAAAAGCACTGGAAATGAAGGGAACCCATCCCTATGGTCCTGTTATTAACTGGGAAGGGGCAACCACCTAGGGATCAGGTAAATGGATGGGTCACAATTAGGTCATACAATCTAGAAGGAAAGCAAATATTTTATGTTCTGTAAAGCAAATATATATGACAGAACAAAAAGTAAACACGAACTGACCTTGAACGCGCTGTTAAGTAGCAACACTCTCCTCTACTTCAGGAGGCTTCTCTTGCAGAACTACAAGACCAAGAAGGGACCCTTGAGGTTCTGGACAGGCTAAACAACACACTGTCCACCATCAGACATGACCCATGACCCACCACAAATATATCTAGATGGAATAAGAGATAAATAGAATACTGCTGACTTTTAACAGTGTCACACTTAAAGGCCATAACCTATAAACAGCGCTGGAATCTAAGTTCACACTGTGAACTTAGGGGGCACACTGTGGTTCTGAAAGCAATGACTTCCCCTCTGATGTCTATTTCTTTATAGATAGATCAAACTGGCTCTAAGATGTAAGAACAGAGGAGAATCCAGGGAAACACTTCCAAGTAACCATGGAACCTACAGTGGACCCTGGGTGGGCAACACTCACTTCCCCAATATCCCCTCTGTGTGAAGCACTCCTACAGGTTTACTGGGGAAATTTTAAAAAATCCTACCCACTGCGTTCAAACTTACAGTCGGTTACAACCCAGCTGTCACAGGATCACTTGGTCACAGTATCAGACACCTTTCGTCACCGTAGACTGTGTACTGACAGTCCCACTAGCCTTATCGTATACCAGTCTGGGCACTCCAGGGCCTGTCACACACACTCTCACTCACAGGCATGCAGGCGTGTGCACTAAGAGTTCACAACGAACTTGTCACAGACAATAACGCCCGAAACCACCGTCGTGCGAGGTTTACGCAAACACCGGGACAAGGCTCCTGGCTCCATCTGCCTTACCCGCGCCCCGGGAGCTTAGGACCTCCATACCGCGAGCTCCTCCCGCAACCCGACCTGGATCACCTTAACTCACCAGGCAAAACCCAATAACCACGAAGATACCGGAAGCGGAACCAAAAGTCGAAGTCCATTCGTGGCCCTGGGGCCTGTGGGAAACGTAGTCCAACACTAAAAAAAAATGTTCTGGTTTTCGAGCGCGGCAGAGTACAACCGTCGCGAATTTCACGTCACGCCCCCGAAACCCCTGAGAGTTCCGGGTGGGCTGATCTTTCGTCCTCCGCGGAAGGTTGCCGGTGGCGGTTCTTAAAACATGAAAGAGCCGGGTGATGGTTTCGTGGGAGCGAGAGGTCTTTGCATGAACTAGAGCCCAAGCCGAGAAAGTAATCGGAAACCTGGGCAGGGAGGAAAGTAAAGGGAAGCGGAACCCTGCCAGAGGCGGGGCAAAGAGGAAAACGGAGGCAGCCTGAGTCTGGGAAGACCGGGAGAGAACCGGAAACCCTAACCCAGGAGCGTTGAGGGAATCGGATCCAGGTTGAGGAGGGCCCGGGAAGCAATCGAATCCGTGCTGAGGGATGTCGGGCCGAGAAGGGCTGAGGAGGGTACTGCAGTTCGGGCGGGAAGGCTGAGGTGAGAAACGGGAGCCGGTGACTGTCGAGGTTTCTCTTCACTCAGGCCTGTGTGTGCGGGACCCCGTGGTCGTGAACCAGAGATGACGAGTTTTGTCAGTTTTTGCCCCTTGAGAAAGCCCCAGCACCCAGAATGGCGTCTGGCACATAGCAGACGCTGGGTATGTGTATGCCTGCCCTGGTGTGTATTTTATACCATCGCTGACAGGAAGTTCTCTCGTGTCCTTTTCCAGTCCCACAGCATAGACAGCCAAAGTTTGTTTTTTTTTTTTTAAGTTTGTTTTTGAGAGAGAGTGTGTCTGCTGCTGTTTCTTCTTTTTAAAAAGCTCCCCAGTTAGATGAATAGTGGTAAGAAGGTTGGATTCTCGTCTGCTATTGTATAGCATAAGGCAACTATGCACACCCAAAGAGATTAATATGAATTCCTGCTAATTGATTAACTACTTTTAATCACATTGACATGCCCCCTTTGTTTATTCTTTAGCAGTGGCAACATGGGAGGTTGAGTTTTTGTGGGTAGTGAGAGCCTGGATCCTCACTGGATCCATCACTGGATATGATGGTTAATAATACACAGCTCAGTTCCCAACTGCGTCAGTAACTATGGATCTGTAAACAACATCTTACATTTACCCTATGTCTTCTGAGTATCAGTATATATGGTTTCTTAATTTACATGCCACATTGTTTAGGATGCTCAGATGTTCATCATGAGGCAGAAGAGGTAACAGTGAGAAATTAGGCAAAGACAGGATTGTGCAAGATGGAAAGTGAAATGTCATCCTGATTGCAAACAGTATATGCTCTGCATTACATTGTGTCTTAACAAAGTTATCTTCTGCAGGGGCACCTTGGGTGGCTCTGTTGGTTAAGCATTTGACTCTTGGTTTCAGCTCAGGTCATGATCTCACGGTTCATGAGATGGAGCCCCATGTTGGGCTCTGAGCTGACAGCACTGATGCTGCTTGGGATTTTCTCTGCCCCTCCCCCCCACTCACACATGTGCATGTGCTCTTTCTCTCAAAATAAGCATTTATTTATTAGTTATTTTTAAATGTTTATTTTTGAGGCGGGGAGGGGGGCACACAGAATCCGAAGCAGGCTCCAGGCTCTGGGCTGTCAGTGCAGAGCTCTATGTGGGGCTCAAACCCACAAACTGACATCGTGTGATCTGAAGTCAGACGCTTAACCGACTGTGCCACCCAGGTGCCCCCAAATAAATAAACATTTTTAAAAATTATCTTGTGCACTTTCCATTTCCTTATATTTTGAGCTTTCCAGTCCTGTTTTGTATTACAATGCAAACAAGTTAATGTCTTAGCCTAAGAAGGGAGACCCACCTAATGAACAGTAGTAAAAAATAATCTTAGAAAAATAGGAAGGCCATGTCCTCCCTCTCCCTGTGGAGCTGCAGAGGAATTAATACCATTCTTTGTCATAAAATTTATTTCAAAGAAACTGATATAATAAAGTGTTAAATTGAGAACATTAAATGAATATTAGCCTCGCTCTCCTGTCCCTTACTTTCTAAATCTGTAAACCTATTAGTTATTTATTTCATTATTTGCTGCCCAGGTAATAATGTTTAAACTGTCATCTGTGTTTTATTGAAAGCCATAAATAGTTAAAATATTTTTATGTTAAGGGAATTCTGTTTACTTTCTTTATGCATAAAGGTATAATAAAATCCCAGGACCTTTAGCCAACAGCGAAATGGAAAGCAAAATAATAAGATACTACACACAAGGATGTGCTAGAATCAAATATAAAGGTAATGAGGGGCGCCTGGGTGGCGCAGTCGGTTAAGCGTCCGACTTCAGCCAGGTCACGATCTCGCGGTCCGGGAGTTCGAGCCCCGCATCAGGCTCTGGGCTGATGGCTCGGAGCCTGGAGCCTGTTTCCGATTCTGTGTCTCCCTCTCTCTCTGCCCCTCCCCCGTTCATGCTCTGTCTCTCTCTGTCCCAAAAATAAATTAAAAATGTTGAAAAAAAAATTAAAAAAAAAAAGGTAATGAGTATTGGCAAGGACATGGGGAAATCAAAACTCATACACAACTAGACAATATAAAATGGTGCAGTTACTGTGGAAAAGAATCTGGCAGTTCCTCAAATGGGTAAACATAGATCCACAATTCCACCCCCATGTATATAATCAAGAGAAATGAAAATATATGTCCACATAAAACATGTACGTATGTTCACAGCAGCATTATTCATAACAGCCAAAACATGGAAACAACCCAAATATCCATCAAGTGATGAATGGATAAACAAAATGTGGCATACCCATACAAGGTAACATTATTCAACAATAAAAAGAAATGAAAAGGATACGTGCTATAACTTGAATCTTCAAAACTTTAGGGTAAATAAAAGAAACTAGTCACAAAGTACCGCATGTTGTATAATTCCTTTTACAGGAGATATCCAGGAAAGGTAAATATGTAGACAAAATGAATTGTTTGCTTAGTGCTGGAGCATATTAAGGGGTACTTAACTAATAAGGTCAGTTGATATTTTTCATACCTATGTATACAGTGTATACAAATTTTATATGAAAAAACCCTAAAATACAGTAAAATAATGAGAGGTTGCAAAGTATTCATGAGACCAAACATTCAAAACTATTTCCCCTTCTCTTGCTCTCTTTTTCCCACCAACTAGGAGTGACAGTACCTACAGCTGCAATAGGTCAGCCCTTCTATATTCCCGGTTTGCCTATTCCTCCCTCTTTAATTTCCACATTGAGGCAGGAAAGAAAGTGATGCAATATACACCAGATATTCTATCATAAAGCCCAAATGAATGTTGTACTTTTGAACAAGTTTTAAACCATGAAGCCAAACAGTAGTTTCCCAGAATCAAACCTTATATCCTTTTTACTTTTAAAAAACATCTTTAATTTTTTTTTCTTTTTTGGTCCATTTACACCCCTAACTGGTCTTTGTAGCCATGGAATATCTCAAGCCCTACTTCTATCTTTTCTTGACGATATCCTTCTCCTCTGACATTTTCCTAAGCAGATGAATGCAGAAATAACAATATATTATCTAAAATGTCTTATTTGCCAACAGAAAATTTATAAGACATGCAAAGAAACTACAGAATATGACTCCTGCTTTGGCAAAAAGAAAAAGAGACTGCCTAATAGAGCAACCAGATGTCAGATTTAATAGACAAAGACTTCAAAGAAGCCATTATAAATATATTCAAAGAACAAAAGGGAATCATGATTAAAGAAATAGTGGCAATGCTACATCAAGTAAGGTGTGGCAATAAAGATAGAAAAAAAATTTTGAGTAGGCTCCATCCCAATGTGGGGTGTGAATTCACAACCTTGAGATCAAGAGTCACATGCTGTACCAACTAAGCCAGCCAAGTACCGCAAAGATAGAAAATGGAAATCCCAGAATTGAAAATTTCATTAGAAGGGTTCAAAAGATTTGAATTAGCAGAAGAAAGAATTAGCAAACCTGAAGATAGGTCATTAGTGAGTATACAGGTTTAAGCACAGAAAAAATAATAAGGAAAAATGAACAGAGAAATGTGGAGCACTAGTGAAGTGCACCATTATATGCATAACGGGAATACCAGAATGAACAGAGAGGTTTCGAAAAAAAAGCATTAAAAAAACTTCAAAACTTCCCAAATTTATTTACAATAATAATGAGAGTTTAGCTAAGCTATTATTATTAGCTATTATTTACTATTATCATTAGCTAAACTAATATTGCTGCTTTGGCATACATTTCGTTTGGTTAAGTGTCTTGCCAAAATCTTCAACTGACACTAACCCCCTCATATAAGCACATACCCTAGGTAGCAGCCTGCAGAGTCACAGCAAATGAAAGTTCCTGATATGATTTCCCAACAGCCTTCTGATCAAGTCTCCTCAGGCTACCAGCATCTGTATGTGCCCCTTAGATAAGACTCCTGTGGGAGTCTTACTAAAATACTATTCTTTTGGTTTGTATCGACCAATCCAGCCCCAGCCCAGGAACCATAAAGCACTCCACTGTAATAAAGCCATGTGCCCCATGTTGTACTTTCTCTGTCTGCACTCTGCCTTGACCTTCCCATCTGGCCTCTTGTGTACTTCCTCCAAGACATGTAATGCACTTCTCTATTTCAATTTCTCCTGTGTTCTGTTGTTGAACCATGACTCCCCATCCAGCAGTCTGTGCTCCAGTAAACAAATGTTCATTTAATAGTCATCATAATTTATGTGTCCACGAAGTTCGACAAATTCAAAGTAGTAGAAACACAAAGGAATCCACCAACATATCAGGGTAAAAATGCTGAAAACAAAGCAAAGAAAACGTCTTTAAAGCACCAAGAGAAAAAGAACTCATCACTTAAAAGGGAGCCCCAACTAGATTAATGGCTGACTTCACATCAGAAACAATGGAGGCCAGAAGGGAGTGGGGAGACAAATTCCAAGTCCTGAAAGACAAATGCCTTTTAACCAAGAATCCTACACCCAGCCAGAGTGGCTTTAAAAAATGAAAGCTAGGGGCACCTGGGTGGCCCAGTCAGTTGAGTATTTAGCTCAGGTCATGATCTCAGTTCGTGAGTTCAAGCCCCGCATTGGGTTCTGTGCTGACAGCTCAGGGCCTGGAGCCTGCTTCACATTCTGTGTCTCCCTCTCTCTGTCCCTCCCCTGCTTGTGCTCTTGCTCTCTCTCTTTCTCTCTCTCTCTCTCTCAAAAGTAAATAAAAATTAAAAGGGTTTTTTTTTTTTTTAATGAAGGCTAAATAAAGCCTTGTTTATTCCAAGATAAACAACTGAGAGGCTTTGTCACCAGCTTGAAGAGATTACTAATTTCTTCAAGCTGAAAGCAAATGACCCCTAATTGTAATTTTGATATACATTAAAAACAGCACCTGTAAAAGTAACTATGTAATTATAAAATACAATACAAATGCACATTTTTCTACTTTGTTGTCTTATGTTAAAAGCATTTCTATAAAACATGTAAATAATGTGTTAGAAAAATAATATAAAATGTTAATATGTAATATTACTATATTGGTAACAGCACAAAAGAACAAAAGAGGTGGGAGGAAACAATGCTGCTGTAGTAGGGAGATAAGGAAATGAGCCCAGATGGTTACTCAAAACCACAGGAACAAATAAGAACCAGAATAATAAGAAAATACAACAAAATCTATAAATCTATACATATTCTAATAGCTTTAAAACACAATTATAGAAAGTAATGATCATAGCAAGGTATTGTAGAGTTGTAACACAGATGTAGTATGTAGAGATATAGACACAGATGTAGTAAAACAGTAATACATCAAAAATGGAGAAAAGAGAATAAACCCATAGGGAGTCTAACATTTCTGTCTTCTTGGATTTAAGTTAGCATAAATCTGAAACTGCTTCTGATAAGCTCCAGAACAAGATTTATGTAATCAAAAACTAAATAACTAGGGGCGCCTGTGTGGCTCAGTCGGTTGAGCATCCAACTTCGGCTCAGGTCATGATCTCATGGTTCGTGAGTTCGAGCCCCACGTTGGGCTCTGTGATGACAGCTCAGAGCCTGGAGCCTACTTCAGATTCTGTGTGTCCTTCTCTCTCTGCCCCTCCCCACTCATGCTCTCTCTCTCTCTCTCTCTGTGTCAAAAATAAACATTAAAAAAATTTTTTAATAAAAAAAACCTAAATAAAACAATATAGCAAGAAGTCACTGGATACATTAAAATATTACAAAGTATTCACTTAAAGGATGTGGTAAATTAGAAATAGAGGAAGAAAAAGGACATCATAGACATAGAAACCAAATGTACAATAGCAGACAAGAATCCAACCTTCTTACCACTATTCATCTAACTGGGGAGCTTTTTAAAAAGAGAGAAGAAACAGCAGCAGACACACTCCTGGTGGCCTGGAAAAAAAAAAATCATACAACCATGTTGTGAGCTATGGTTGGGGCTATGTGGCTAGTACCTCAGGGTGGCCTCTAGGAGATGAAAATGACACTGAGTCAACAGCCAGCAAGAAAATGGGAACTTAGGGCACCTGGATGACTCAGTCAGTTAAGCATCTGACTCCTGATCTCAGCTCAGGTCATGATCTCACAGTTTGTGAGATCGAGCCCCATGTTGGGCTCTGTGCTGACAGTGCGGTGCCTGCTTGGGAATCTCTCTGTCCCTCTCTCTCTGCCCCTACCCTGTACATGCTCTCTCAAAATAAATAAATTAAAAAAAAAAAACAAACATAATTTTAAAATGGGACCTCAGTCACACACCTGAAGGGAACTGAATTGTGCCAACAACCCAAGTGAGATTGGAAGAGAATCTCTACTTCCAGATGAAATCACAGCCCCAACAAGCACTGGTTTTCAGCCTTCTGAGAACCCATATATATATATATATACTATCCCCAGACTTCTGACAGACTGAAACAAAAATGAGTATTATCAAGATAAATTTGTGGTAATTTCTTGTGCAGCAGTAGAAAATAAATACATTATCCAATCATTGAACTAACTATTGGCCATCCTTGTCAGAAAGGTGGATCACAAACGGTTCACATTCACTTGGGATGGAGATTTTGCGTCTAAAAAATTTTTTTTAATGTTTATTTATTTTTGAGAGAGAGAGACAGCTCAAGCGGGAGAGGAGCAGAGAGAGAGGGAGACACAGAATCTGAAGCAGGTTCCAGGCTCTGAGCTATCAGCACAGAGCCCGACATGGGGCTCGAACCCACAAACTATGAGATCATGACTTGAGACAAAGTTGGACGCTTAACCAACTGAGCCACCCAGGTGCCCCTGGATATTACACATTTTTATTCTGGCTCTACAACTAAGTTATTTTAGCTTCCTTCTGTCATATTTCAAAGAGATCTGGACCAGTTGGACATCCCACAGACTACATACTGGTCCACTACACGACTGAAATCATCCTAATCAGACTGGTTTAGCAAAAGATAGTAACCAGATTGGAGGGTTTGGTAAAACACAACAAAACAGATAAATATTATGAAGATTAAAATGTCACCACAGCAGTGATAATATTGGGGTTATAGTGGTTTGAGGCATTCCAGAATATTCCCTCTGAAATAATGGATACAGTATTGCATCTTGCACTTCCCACCATCAAGAAGCATTAATGACTGGTTGGCCTCTTTGGATTTTAGATGTGGCAGATTCCACAACCAAGGAAACTCCACGATAGGAAACATGCAATGTAGACCTCTCTGGTTCTGGAGCATGCCATGCCATCTTCAGAGAAGAACTATAAAACTTTTGAAAACATTAAGAAACAGCAAACATGACCATGATCCACCAGCTTCTTAATGAAATTTTTAGTCCTCAACAAAAACTAGTATCATCTATGGACAGATTCTTTACTTTTCTTCACAATTGGCTGCCTTTTCTTTTTCTTGCCTGATTGCTCTAGCTAGAACTTTTTTTTTTTTTTTTTTTTTTCTCCAGCTAGAACTTCTAATACTGTGCTGGATAGAAAGGTCAAAAATGGGCATCTTAATATTCCTCCTGATCTTACAAGGAAAGCTTTCAGTCTTTCACTATTGAATATGATGTTAGCAGCAGGTTTTTCATATAATGGTCCTTACCATGTTGAGGAAGTTTCCTTCTGCTTTTAATTTAATTATGGTTTTGTTTTGTTTTTTAACCACGAAAGGGTGTTGAATTTTGCCATATGCTTTCTCTGCATCAAATGAGGTAATCATGTATTTTCCCACATTCTATCATGTGGTATATTATATTTGGTTTTCACATAATGAACAATCCTTGTATCTTATGAATAAAAACCACTTGTTCATGGTGTACAATCCTTTTAATATCCTGCCAAATTTGATTTGCTAGTATTTTTATGACAGATTTTACAATATTTCTAAGTATATCACTCTATAGTTTTCCTTTTTTGTAGTGTCTTTGTCCTGGCTCTTTGACAAATCAAGATAATGCTGGCTTCATCAAATGAACTAGGAAGTATTTCCTCCTTGATTTTTCTGAAAGAGTTTGAAAAGGACTAGTGTGAACTCTTCTTTGGTAGAATTCACCAGTGAAGCCATTTGGTCCTAAGCTTTTCTTTTTTGAAAAGTTTTTGATTACTGATTCAATCTCCTTGCTGGTTATAGTGCTATTCATATTTTCTATTTCTTCATGAGTCCTATTTGGTGGATTGGGTGTTTCTAGGATTTTGTCCATTATATCTAGGTGATCTAATTTGGTGTTATACAACTGTTTATAGCATTCTATTACAATAGTATTTATTTTTGTAAAATCAATAGTAATGTTCCACTTTCTATTGTTTTTAGTAATTTGAGTAACATCTTTTTCTTAGTCAATATAATGGTTTTGGGGGCACCTGCATGGCTCAGTTGGTTAAACATCCAACTCTTCTTGATTTCAGCTCAGGTAATCATCTCATGGTTCATGGGTTTGAGCCCCGTGTTGGGCTCTGTGCTGACAGTGGGGAGCCTGCTTGGGGTTCCCTGTCTCCCTCTCTCTCTGTCCCTCCCCACTCCTCTCTCTCAAAAATAAAATAAACACCATATATGTATATTGTTTTCCTATTTCTATTTCATTTATCTTTGCTCTAATCTTTATTATTTCCTTCCTTCTGCTAGTTTGGGTTTAGTTTGTTCTTTTTCTGGTTCCTTAAGGTGTTAAAGTTAAGTTGGTGATTTGAGATCTTTAAAAAAATTGTTTTAATGTTTATTTATTTTTGAGAGATAGAGCACAAGCAGGGGATGGGCGGAGAGAGAGGGAGACACAGAATCCAAAGCAGCCTCCAGGCTGTGAGCTGTCAGCACAGACCCCAATGTGGGGCTCAAACTCACAAACTGTGAGATCATGACCTGAGCTGAAATTGGACGCTCAACCAACTGAGCCACCCAGGCGCCCCTGAGATCTTTTCAATGTATGTGTATGTTTCCCATTGTATGCTTTGTTATAGTAATAATTTTATATAATTATTAGGAATGAAATATAATTATAAATAATTATATATATTACAATTTGGAGTATTCTGTTTTCATTTTCTTACATCCCAAAGTATTTTCTAATTTCCCTTGTGATTTCTTCCTTGACCCATTGGTTGTTTAAGACTGAGTTAATTTTTATATATTTGTGAATTTTCAAACTTTCCCTTTGTTACTGATTTCTAGTTTCTTTCTGTTGTATGATTATAAACTTTAAAAATGTATTAAGACTTAATGTGGCCTAATATATGGTCTATCTTAGAGGTTGTTTAATATGCACTGGAGAAAAATGTGTAATATCCTGTGGCAGGTAGAGTGTTCTGTATATGTCTGTTAGGTCTAATATACTGTTACCAAAATCCTGTTTCTTTATTAATCAAATGTGTGATTGTTCTGTCCATGAGTGGAAGTGGATATTGATGTCTCCAATTATTATTACAGAAAGCTCTATTTCTCTTCAGCTCTCTCAATGTTTCTGTCACATATTATGGGGCTTTGTTGTTTGGTGCATATAGATTTATGTTTGTTATATCTTCTTAATTTACTCTTTTATCAATATATAATGAAATTCTTGTCTTTTAACAATTCTTTTTTTTTATTTTTTTGAGAGAGAGCAAGAAGGCACAAGCGAGCAAGGGACAGAGAAAGAGAAGAGGAGCTCTCCAGAAGCAGGGTTCGAGCTCATCCGAAGCAGGGTTCGTGCTCACCTGAAGCGGGGCTTGAGCTCACCCAAAGCAGGGCTCAAGCTCACCCTATGCGGGACTTGAACTCACGAACCATGAGATCATGACCTGAGCCAAAGTCAGATACCTAACCGACTGAGCCACCCAGATGCCTATCTTGTAACAATTCTTAAATTAAAATGTATTTTGATTGATTTAGTAAAGGAACACCTTCTACCTTTTACTATTTGCATGGAATGTCTTTTTCTGTCTTTCATTTTTAACTTATTTGTGTCTTTTTTCTTTTTATTATTGTAAAATATGCATAAAAGTTACCTTTTCTACATTTCTAAGGAGTAACTGACAAATATAATTATATATACTTAGAGTGTACAATGTGATGATTTGATATGCATATACATTATAGGATGATTATGAATATAACACATCCATCACCTCACATAATTAATATAGTTAACTCTAAAATTTACCATTTTAAGTGTATAATTGTAACATTAAATACATTCACATTTTTGTACAACCACCATCCATGTCAAAAACTCAAGAAAATCCATACCCATTTAACAAGAACTCCCCATTCCCCTCTCCCTCAATCCCTAACAACTATCATTCTATTTTCTATCTCTATGAATTTGACTACTCTAAACACCTCATATAAGAGACATACAATATTTATTCTTTTGTGACTGGCTTATTTCACTTAGTATAATGTCTTCAATAATACTCCACTATTTACCACATTAGTCAAAAATGTGTAGAAACATTCTTAGTGGACTCTTGAGTTGCTCAACTTTTTCACTACTGTCAAGAATGCTTTACAAACGTGGGTATACAAATATGTTTGTGTCCCTGCTTTCAGTTCTTTTCAGTATATAATCAGAAGTGGAATTACTAGATCAGGTGGTAATTCTGTGTTTAACTTTTTGAGGAAATGTCAAATGTCAGTTTTTCCCAGTGGCTGCACCATTTTATGTTTCCTCCAGCAATGCTTCCAATTTCTCTGCATCCTAATCAACACTCATTTTGTTTTGCCTTAAAAAAAAAAAATCATTCTAATGGGTGTGAAGTAGTATCTCAGTGTGGTTTTCACTTACATTTTTTTTTTAATGTTTGTTTATTTTTGAGAGAGACAAAGACAGAATGCGAATGGGTTAGGGGCAGAGAGAGAGGGAGACACAGAATCTGAAGCAGGCTCCAGGCTCCGAGCTGTCAGCACAGAGCCCGATGGGGGGCTCAAACTTACGAGCTGTGAGATCATGACCTGAGCTGAAGTCGGATGCTTACCGACTGAGCCACCCAGGCACCCCAGAAATTTTACTTCTTATGACATATCTGGACAATTAAGAACACTCTTAAAACAAAGGGAAAATAGGAAATCTCAGTAAAGAAACATGATATTAAAGAAAGAGCCAAATGGAAATTTTAGAACTGAAAAATACAATAACCAAAATTTAAAACTCACCAAATGGGCTCAATAGCCAAATGGAGATTATAGAGGAGAGAATCCAGCAAACTTGAAGGTGGAGCAATAGAAATGATCTGATCTGAACAGAGATAAAAAGCTGTTTTCTGTTGTTTTATTTTTAATGAAATGGGAGGTGGGGGCAGTGGGGTAGATAAAAATCAGACATCCATGTTATTGGATTCCTGGAAGGAGAAGAGAAAGTGCAGGGCTGAAAAACAGATGAAGAAATAATGGATAAAAACTTCTAAGTTTGGTGAAAGACCTAGGATTCAATCAGTTAAAGAAACCCAAACAAATACACCCAAAGGAATCCAACACTCTACGATTTTGAAACTTCTATCTACATGAAGTTCTAACTACTAATTTCCAGAGAAAATTAAATATGTCCTACTTAATGAAGATAAATGTGTCCTGTGTAACAACTGAAGAATCAGAATACAGAAAATGCATTTAAGTAAATTTATAAATCTATAGGTAAAGAAGGAATAGATAAAAAGAAAGATATAAATAGTAATCATGAAGAGACATTCCAGAAACAGGTTTATACGGCTAGTATATTCCACAAGTTGACCAGAACATACTATTATAAACTGGAAAGCAATTTTGCAATATCTGATAAAGTTGAATGTATCTATTCCCTATGACCAGGTACCTCTACTTCTATGTAAAGAATGGCAACAAGGAGGGGCACCTGGGTGGCTCAGTCGGTTAAGTGTCCAACTCTTGGTTTCGGCTCAGGTCATGGATCTCACGGTTTGTGAGATTGAGCCCCATGTCAGGCTTCACACTGACAGCGTGGATCCTGCTTGGGATTCTCTGCCCCTCCCCTGCTCACTCTTGCTCTCTCAAAAAGAAAATAAAATTTTGAAAATAATTCTGTTCTTATTTTCCCTATCTGAAAAAGATAGGGAATGTTGTTGTAAAAGCCTTAGCGGTGCCTGGGTGGCTTGGTCAGTTAAGTGTCTGACTTCAGTTCAGGTCATGATATCACAGTTCATGAGTTCAATCCCTACATCAGGCTCTGTGCTGACAGCTGGGAGCCTGGAGCCTGCTTCCGATTCTGTGTCTCCCTCCCTCTTTGCCCCTCCCCCATTTTCTCCCCCACCCCTCCCCCCACTCAAAAATAACTAAACATTAAAAAAAATTTTAAGGGGCACCTAGGTGGCTCAGTTGGTTGGGCATTCAATTTCAGCTCAGGTCATGATCTCACGGTTCATGGGTTCAAGAGCCGCAACAGGCTCTGTGCTGACAGCCCAGAGCCTGGAGCCTACTCCGGGTTCTGTATCTCCCTCTCTCTCTGCCCCTCCCCTGCTCATGCTCTGTCTCTCTCTCCTTCAAAAATAAACATTAAAAATTTTTTTTTTAATTTTAAGCCTTGATACATTTCTTATATGTTTTCTCAACATGTAGGTTCTGATTGTCATTAATGTGTGAATCAAATCTTACTATTAAGCAAATTTCTATATATTTCATAGAGTGTCTCATCAGGAAACCTTTTCTGATATACTCAAAAGTATCTTCCATAGGTAAAGGACTTCCTACATTCCATAAATTCATGAGACTCATCACCAATATGAACTCTAAATTCTCTAAAGCTCTTCCTATGTTATTTACATTCATGTAGTTTCTCAACAGTGAATTCTTTAATTATCTCTAAAATTTCTACTAAACCCAAAAGCCCTGCATATTACTTAATTAATAGTTTTTCTAACTAGCTGTAAATATACTTTTGTAGTTTTAGAAAACAGTCATCTTGCTAATAAATGCTTTGTGGAAGTGAAATGCCTATTAGAGGGTGATGCTCTTCCAGCCTGTTGTGCACGCACGTGTGTGTGTGTGTGTGTGTGTGTATATATATATAATAATCTCTTTTAACTGAGATATAATTCATGTAACCATAAAATTTACTCCCTTTAAGTGTAAAATTCAGTAATTTTTAGTATATTCACAAAGTTGTGCAATCACTACCACCAATTCCAGAACATTTTCATTACCCCAGGAAAAAACACTATCAACATTAATAGTCTTCCCATTCTTCCCTCTCCCCAGCCCCTTATCACCACTAATCTACTTTCTTTTTTTTTATTTATTCAATTTTAGTTAGTTAATATATAGTCCAATATTGGTTTCAGGAGTAGAATTCGGTGATTCATCATTTACATACACCACCCAGTGCTCATACAACTACTGATATACTTTCTGTCTCTGTGGTTTTACCTCTTCTGAACACTTTATATAAATGAAATCATGCAATATTTGGCCTTTGTGTCTGGCTTCTTTAAATTAGGGTAATATTTTCAAGGTTCATCTATGTTTTAGCATGAATCGTACTTTATTTCTTTTTTTAATAGCTGAATAATACTCCATTTTATGGATATACAACATTTAAACTTCAGACACTAAGTTTCATAACAGCAGGAATTTTCAGATAATGCATTTCACCATTTGTGCACACAAAAAGGCTTTCCCTATGTTTTACAATCATAGATTTTCTCACTAGAATGAATTCTCTCATCACGAACAAAGTTTGAACTATAATCAATGATGTTCTCATATTCCTTATCCCATAGAATATCTCTAATAAATTCCCTGATGTGGAGTAAGAGACTTACGCTTTTTTATACTTGGTTCCATTTCCAGCCATTATTTCCATTTAGCTAAGATCTCAGTCTTGAGACCCTTGCCTAAATCGTGCTTTTATTTTGCCAGTTATTTCTGGAATTGGGAATCCTCCAAGTCAAGATTTTCCTTCCATTACCTTGCATTGAGAGCCTTTTTTTCCCCCTAAAAACGTCTTTGTCTCACATCTGGACTCCAAATCTGAAAGGACAGTAGAAGGGAAACAATGATTTTATTTTCCCTGTATCATAAAAATAAAATTATTACATGGAGGAAATAAATTGAAAATAATGAATATCAGCAGTCAATAGCTAACACGGTATTGGAAATTTGAAGAAAAGGAAGGAAACTCCGAGAATGAGAGGACTGTATATATGATAAAGAAGTTATGAAAAGGTAAAATGTTAAGTCCATGGTTCTGAAATTTAGGTGTTGATCAGAATCAACTGGGAAAGTTGTTGCAAAGTACTGATGTACAGTGACCAACCCAGATGGACTGAATCAGCATCTATAGGGTAGGTCCCAGGCATCTATATTTTTAATGTCTCTATTGGATTAATTCTGATGCAGATCAGGGTTTGATAGTCCCTACTTACAATTTTTTTTTAATGGCTTGTCTTTTTTCTTAGAATGAAATCCAAGTAATTTCTCATGGATAACAAGGCCCTACTTATAAGACATTTCATTCCACCCAATCCTCTTCCATACAATCCTTGTTTTGTTTTGTTTTTTCGTGTTTATTTTTATATTTGAGAGAGAGCGTGACTGGGGAAGGGCAGAGAGAGAGGGAGACAGAGGATCTGAAGGGGACTCTGTGCGGGAGAGTGGAGCTTAATGGGGCTCAAGCAGGACTCAAACTCACAAACTGAGATCTTGACCTGAGCTGAAGTCAGACACTCAACTGACTGAGCCAGCCAGGTACCTAAATCCTCTTCCTTTTAGTTCCAAGATCATGCAGTATTTATCTCCTGTATCTATCTACCTCCCATCCATGGATGGGCTCATTATATTGTTTCCTCCATTCTCCATTTCATATGAGAGTAAAAGTATATCCAAACTAGCAGAGCTAAAGCCGACCATTCTTATATTTCTTAGAAAAGTATCTCAAAGACTTTTCAGATATTATTCACAAGTATACCATACTATAAAGCTTATAAAATTTTGATCAGAAAGACCTGGACCTAGGCAGTTCAGTCAGTTGAGCATCCAACTTTTGATTTTGGTTTAAGTCATGATCCCAGAGTCAGGGGATCAAGCCGCATGTCGGACTCCACACTGAGTGTAGAGCATGTTTGGGATTCTCTCTCTCTCTCTCTCTCTCTCTCTCTCTCTCTCTCTCTTTCCCTCTCTGCCGTTCTTCCCCTACTCACAAGTTCACGCTCTCTCTAGAAAAAAAATTAAAATATAAAAATAAATTTTAAAAAGACTTGGAACTGCAGTAGAGAATATGCTAACTCAATAATATGGAGAAAGATCTTCATGGGGACCAAAGTGCCATGGGTGCCATGGCTGTTCACTAGAGGATGGTAATAAAGGTTAGCAGATAGCCTAAAGAAAATCAAAAGTGGTGGATTAACCAAGTGGGACCAAGAATAATTTTTCCATTATTACTAAAGCAAGGTATATATAATAAAAGTAAAATAAAACAACATTATTTGGCTGCTTAATAAAATAGATTGATGAAAATTGAGGGAACCAAGACTTTGACTTGGAAATAAACAAGCAATCTACTAAATAAATCTTGTGTCAATTGTGGAAATATAATCCAAATAAAGAAAACTTCTAGAGGGAGGAAGATGGTGGTAGAGTAGGAGGAACCTAGGCTCTCCTCATCCCACAAATACTATTAGATAACTATCAAATCATCCTAATTGCCCCAGAAATCAACCTAAAGACTGGTAGAACAAACTCCACAACTAAAGGTAGAGAAGAGGCCACATCAAAGAAGGTATGAAGTGCGGAGACGTAGTTGGGAGAGAAATAGACCCTGGCAGCCATGGTGGGGAGTAAGTGGGTAGAGAGAAGGGTGAGAGACAGACTAGCACACAGGGGAGTACATGGAGAAGATGTTTCCCCATTACAGTGGCTTGGAAAACAAGAGGGGCTGAATTTCATGAGTTCTTACAACCAGCAAGGCTTAAAGCCTGGAGTTTTAAAGGTTAGTGGGCTTGGCTGGGGAGAGCCCAGAGGGCATTGCACTGCTCTTGGAGAGAAGACAGGGCAAACAGCATGTGGACACACAGTGTGGAAATAGCAATCTGAAGAGCACCTGGAACACACAGTGGGGAGCTTAATTGCTCTTCTGGGGGTGTGTCCCAAAGAAGCAGCATTCAGGGAGAGACATCTCCAGGAACAAAGGAACTGGCTAGTGCCATTTCCCTCCCCCACTCGTCAGCTTATGCTGGGCCACCTGCTGGAAACAGAGCAGCACGGATGCTGGCTACCTAATTTGCTTACATCAACCACATGCGTGCGCACACGCGCACACACACACACTCCAGAAGAATCACCCTTCTCAGTCATGCTTGCCTCAGTCTCAGTGTGGCGGGCACCCTCCATTAGAAGACCAACCCAAACCCCTGCCAACACTGTGTCTCCAGACACAGGAGTTTTATGTATGGAATTGCTGAATCACTATATTGTACATCTGAAACTACATGTAACACTGTATGTTCACTAACTGGAATTTAAATGAAAACTTATAAATAAAGAACCTCTAGAAACCATAATATTACAAACATTAAATGATTTTTCAGTAGTACCTAGGGCATACAAGTATAGTGGTCAGAAGATAAATCATATAATGCTTATATTAATGAAAATAAAATAATAAATAAATGAGGCACCCCTTTCAACAAGTTAGGGATAAAAAAAGTAAAACAAGGAGTGCCTGGGTGGCTCAGTCAATTAAGCATCTGACTTCTGCTCAGGTCATGATCTCACAGTTCATGAGTTTGAGCCTCCCACTGGGCTCTCTGCTATCAGCGCGGAGCCTTCTCTGGATCCTCTGTCTCCATCTCACTCTGCCCCTACCCCACTCAGGCTCTCTCTCTCTCTCTCTCTCTCTCTCTCAAAAATAAGTAAACATTAAAAAAAAAAAAAAAGTAAAACAAAGAGGGGCACCTGGGTGGCTCAGTCGGTTGGGCATCTGACTCTTGATTTCAGCTCATGTCATGATCTCATGGTTCGTGGGTTGAAGCCCCACAACAGGCTCCATGCTTGACAGTGCAAGCCTGCTTTGGATTGTCTCTCTCTCCCTATCTCTCTGCCACTCCTCCACTTAAGCACACTCACTCTCCCTCTGTCTCTCAAAAACAAATAAACGTAAAAAAAAAGTAAAACAAAGAAAAGTAGAAGGAAAGAATTAATAAACATAGAGGCAGAATATAATGAATTGGACAACACATTTAAAACTGTATATAATAGGGGCACCTGGGTGGCTCAGTCGATTAAGCATCGACTTTAGCTCAAGTCATGATCTCATGACTCATGGGTTCAAGCCCCACATCAGACTCTCTGCTGTCAGCATGGGGCCCATTTTGGATCCTCTGTCCCCCTCTCTCTCTGCCCCTTCCCCACTCACACTCTCTCTCTTTCAAAAATAAATACAAATTTTTTAAATAAAAATGATATAAACAGCCTGGGGCGCATGTGTCTACAATGAAAGTATTCAGTTCTTGGTTAAAGAGATTGATTAACTTGATATACATGCCTGCCATGGGGTCTTAGTATCAGGGCTTGCTCTAAGAGAATTTCTTCCCTCCAAATTTTAAAACAGAGGTATAGAAAAAGAAGTGTTTACATATTCTCTGTGAGAGTGTAAGCTGGGGCTGGTGGAGGAATTCAGTCTTTGTGACTACAACTGGGGACAGAATTAGGGTCTGGGCCCATATTTTGACATGTATAGAGAAACTCAGGCAGATGTTATGGTCTGTATGGATGGCAGACTGGATACATGCAGAGTAACTAAGTAACAAGTAATAATACATCATATCATCCTGTTAAACTGGATTGGAATTAGAGGTGGCAGTGTACACTAAGCAATTTAAAAATTATTTAAATTTTAACAAAGCAGAATTCCATATCCAGAGAAAAATGTATCCAAGAATGAATGCAAAATAAAGGCATTTTTAGATAAAAGAAAACTAAGAGAATTTGTCACCAACAGACCTGCATTACAACAAATGATAAAAGGAAGCTCTTCAGGCTGAAACAAAATGCTACCAGTGGGAAAAGAGAATCTGCAGGAAGAGAGCATAATTGGTAACTCACTGGATAAATATAATAACTCTTTTTATTACCTCAAATTCTTTAAACTACATATGACTATTAAAAGCAGTGTGTTGTGGAGTTTATAATGTATATAGATATAGTATATATAACTAAAGTGACTGTATTAATTTCAGATAAGCTAGACCAGTGACAAAGGCACATTGTCATGTGCCATTAGGAAGACATAATTATCACATATTTGTATGTACCTAAAAACAGCACCAAACAACACTGTACTTGCATGACCCTAAGAATGAGTGCCTCCTTAAATTTTGCACCCCAGGGGCTTTACTCACTTCAGCATTACTGTCATCCCAGCCCTGATTTTAATATCCACCTCTCAACTATTAAAAAAAAAAAAAAAAAGAAAAGAAAAAATTAGTGAGGATATAAATGATATGAACTATCAACCAACTTGGACTAATTAATATGTATACAATAATTCACTTAATGACCATCAAATACATATTCCTTTCAAGTGTACATGGCATATTCACCAAGGCAGACTATATAATTGGCCTATACATAAAGTATTAATGAATTTTTAAGGATCAAAATCATATACCATATATTCTCTGACAAATGGCAGCAAGTTGGAAATCGGTAAAAATGAAGTATGTAGAAAATCCACAAATATTTGGAAATTAAACAACACACTTCTAAATAATGCATGGGTAAAAGAAGAAATCAAAAGGGAAATAAAGTATTTTTAAGTGATTGATAAAAATGCAACATATACATATTTGTGGAATGGAGTTAAAGTAGGGAATTTCTGGCTTTGAATGTTATATTAGAAGAAAAGTCTGAAGTCAGTAACCAGAGGTTCCACTTTAGAAAGCCAAAGACAAGGAGCGCCTAGGTGGCTCAGTCGGTGAAGCATCATCTGACTCTTGATTTTGGCTCAAGCCATGATCTCACAATTTGTGAGT